CACACACACACACACACACACACGCGCACACACACACACACACACACAATTAAAAATCTAAAAAGGATAAGTCATTAGGAAAGCCATCTAGAGTTCCACTACAGGTGACACAGCACACACAGATGACTGTGTGGAACCCTAAGTGCTGGGATGTACAAGCCGCTTGTGAGATGTTCTAATCTTCAGGAAAAAAAAAAGAAACTTCCCACCATCTCCCTGGGAGAAGATGAAGTGCAGTTCTCTGAAGCAGGGGGGGGGGAGACCACAGGGCCCACTGTTTCCATTAACCCCAACTTTACCCTGTGGTAACCTGTTCTTTACAGCTGGTATTTCTGAATAGCCTTTACGTTTCAGCCTCCATCAGTCCCCACCTCCAGCCTTCCTGGGCTTGCGTGGGAATCAGTGCTCTCTCCAGTGTACTCTCATCTTCCGCCTTCCAGGTCGAGTAACCCATCACTGCTAATGCCTTTACCTTTATACCCTCGATAGCCCTGCGATCCCTTTAGTAGGTGTGTTGGATGGGAGGTGGCTGCCTCTAGTATATAATAGGTGTTAGACCACAGTGTCATGGTGTAATTGACTTTTCATAAGCTAACTTCAAAATCTCTGATGCGTTGTTAAATAGAAATAGAACACAGCAGAACAAACTGCGTCCAATACTTTTACATAGTTACACAGACACACTCATGGACATTCCTGCATTCTCAAGGATATTTTAAATAAATATTGGTTCAAAATAACTAATAGTAAAAATTATTTTGATTTTTTTTTGTTTTTATTAATGAACTTTGTTACTCTGGTTACGCCCTTCACTTTCGCTTTCCCTCCAACTCTTCCTACTCCCTCTTCTCACCTACAAACTTTCCCCCTCAAATTTATGACATTTTGTTTTGCTTTCTGTCTCACAGAATTTAATTAGGACTGTTCATGTGACCATAAATTTGGGGCTGTACATTAGAGGCTGGCGTGTTCAGCAGCGGGAACACCGCTGGAGCCTATGCTCCCCCACCCCCGCCCATTCTAGAATCTGTGACGGAAGTGATGACAGCAATGGTCTTTCCCAGCTGTGAACTTCATGCAGACCACTTTAAAAAGTTTATATGGATGGATGTTTGCCTACATGTATGTGTGTGCCTGGAACAGACAGATGCCCGGGAATTGGAGTTAGAGATGGTGTGAGACACCACGTGGTTGCTGGGAATCCAGCCTGGGTCCTTGGGAAGAGCAGCGGGTGATTTTAACTACTGGTGCATCTCTCCAGGGCAATTTTGGCAATGTTTATAATGAGTTTGCTAAGTGTTTCGTTAGTAGTTTGAGTTTTAAAAACTCTATTACAATGATTCTAAAAGGTAGAAACACTGTACATACACCACACCCACTCTAGAGTGAACTGTGAGTGGCCATAGCCAGGTCCTTCTCCAGGTGGATGGCAGAGGAAAGCTCTGTTTTGGGCTGACACCTCCAGTCCAAAGGGATGCATGCGCAGGGAGACCCAGTACGCTGAGATCTGCCTGACACGGGTCTCCACTTCTCAACATCTCCCCAAAGCCTGTCTTCGTGCCACCTCATGTTCATGGCAGGGTGCATGGCCCCTCCGTCTTCACCTTCCTACCCTGTAAAATGACCACAACTCATGTGATGAGTAAGACAGAAGGTGAAGGGATGGGACAGGAAATGTCTGTGGCTGATGCAGGCAGGAAGTGTTTCAGGGCACAGAGACATTTAACATCAACTGTCTTACTCTCATACCAGGGGGTTCTGGGAAATGGGCTGACATTAGCTGCTGCTGAGTCTACAAATTCTCAAGAATTGTAATGAAAAAATCACCCTCTGGTCTCTTTGCTGTAAAACTTCAAATGAGGTAGATTGAAGGTTTGTGTAAGTATGAGAAGGGAGTCCACAGATTGAAGAAAAATGTTAGTTTCGTATCTGACTTTCTTGCTCCCAGCGTCCCAGTTGCTGAAGGCTACACATTCATGGGACCCTGTAGGGAGACACCCTAGCCCCGCCCAATAGTCCTGGGACAGGTACCAGGTGGACCGGGACTCGCCCATAAGGGCGTGGTGAAGGAAAGCCGGGGTGACATAAGAGAGCTTCTTAAGGGGCTGCAAGTGGGGACCCTGGCCCCTTTTTGTTCTGGCCACATTGGCTGGTTTCTATAACCTAGCTCTGGCCTCTGTTTTACCTTGGTGTCTTCTGGAATAAAGAGACCTTAATCCTACAGGACACTCCAGTGCACAGTGCAGTACATGGAAATGTGAAGGGGGGGTTCAGAAAGTGTGGGGCGAAGAACTGATTTTGTCAGGGCCTGACTCAGCACTACCTGGTTGCTTGGTGATTCTGAGCCAAGCACATTACCAGATTTCATGGGTGAACGAACCTGAGGAAGCAAGACGACTGAATAAATAGACTTTCCTGGAGTTGGCAACTTTAGCTAATCTGACTCACTAGTCCCCTCCCCCCACAACACTCTTGTTCTTTGTGTAAGGGATCCAAAGAGTTAGCTAATCTGACTCACTAGTTCCCTTGTTCTTTGTGTAAGGGATCCAAAACCCAAGCTTTTCCTTCTGACCTCTGCCCATGTAACTTCCCAGAGCTGGTGGTCCCCTGGGATTATAAAACATGCAGATGTCAACTACATGACAACAATAGTGTGGAGATGTGAGGTTCTTCTGCTATGTGCGTGGGAAGGTTGAACAGAATTTGAAAGGAGCCTGTTCTAAGTTCAAGATGTATTCATGGACTCTGAAGCACCCACCAAAAAGGGGTTGTCTTGAATAAATCAACAAGAAGAAATAAAAAGAAATCACACAAGAATCAGCTACAAACTAGACAGAGTAATAGAGAAAGGGAGAGAAAGAACAGATTGGACAAAGAGAAAACTGGTAGCAGAATAAAATTTTTTATTGTTAGAGACATTTATACATTCACATAATGTATTTTGATCAATGCCACCCCATTTCCCTCCCTTCTGGTCCCTTCTCTAACCTTCTCTTTTACCCCCCAACTTCATGGGAACTCTCTCCCCACAGTGAAATGGACTTGGCATCTCCAGCAAGTACTGTTTCACTGTGGACATCCACTGCCTCCATCCCCTTTCTGTAGAGACCCTGGGCTTTGAGGGGGAGAAGGCATGGTATAGATGCCCCATTGAAATCCAACCACATAATGAATTATCTGAAGTATAAAATATCTAAATACCCCAATTAAAAGTAGATTCTACTATATGCTATTGACAAGGAGTCCCTCCTGCCATTTATTAAATGAGTAAACACTCAGGAAAGTCAATATCACTCCAACCAAATCATTGTCATTCATATTTTCAGAATATTCTGCCAAACAAGAGCAGACTGCCCATTATTTATTAAGATGGACCACACTGTAGTCAACAAAAGTCCCAGTGATGAGAAAAGTGACTAATACCATGAAATGCTTTATTTCTCATCGGATTTATCGCATCCCAAGTGCTCAGTAGCTACCAGGGGCCCCTGGGTTCCATATTAGATGGCACAGAACAACAGGACTGTAGAAAGTTCTGCAGTGCAGCTAGCTAGGAAGATGGGTGGGTACCTTGTATACTCCTGTTTCCTCAGTTCCTCCCCCATGCTTCCTCTCTGCTACTCTCTCTTCTGGTTTTAGCATTGTTGTAAAATCAGAGAAGGCCACAGGACCCAGATTTTCAGGTAAGAATAGGGGTAGAGCGTGGGAGTGTTGAATTTGGTGAGGAGGGGGCTGTTCTGTTGGCTGTGTCTGGTAAACTCCCAGGCAGACCTGCTCTTGGAAATTGTGCTTGTTGGTTCCTGTTTCCTGCCTGCTAATTTTAGTCTGTAATCCATATTGAAGGCGAGCCCTACAAATTCATGTATACTTCAGGGTCCATTGCTGCAAGGATATTTTCTTTTTGGAGAATGAGTTCCTTCACTGGTCAAAACAAGTGCAACTTGACTCTTCCAGGAAGAGTGTGAATGAATTAGCTTGGTGGGAGCAGGAGAAGGTAGGGATGAGCGTCCCTGACAGACACAGCTTAGCATAAGCCTTCCTCCAAGCTGGCACACAGGTCAGGGTCCTCACTGGCTGTTATCTTTTTCCTTCAAGCTGCTCCCTAGTGAACCTGCCTTTTGGGGAACCACTTTTTCCTGGTTTCATGGAAGAGCTGAGCTCCCCGCAGGGAGGTCTATGTGGGGATATCCAAGTTATACTCATTGTGACTACAGGAGTGGATGTTTGTTTGTTCTTAGGCTGAGGAAGGATGACTTAGTCAATGAAATCAGCACCTACAGAAGCACAGTGCTAGTTTTATATTTGAATTGGATCTAAAAACACCCTTGCCCCCAAGTCTTGGGAAATGTTCCATTGCTGCCTCCTGGTCTCCTGCTAATCATCAATATCAACTCTGTTGAGAGCCGATGCTATACGAAAGTTTGTGGTTTCCCTTTCTAGTTTATGAGAAGCTGCCTTCTACCCACCCAGCCTTCAGACATAAAGAAATGAGCCTCTTTCAAAAGAAGCCTCTGGCTTTCTGCTTCCCACTTGTAATTGGTCGCTCTCTGTGTGGGGACTCTGTTCTTAAGCAGGGATATTCCAGCCTGTTCTGGACACAGTTGGTTCCAGAGTCTTCAAAAACATTCATGGAAATGGGTAAAGGAAGCATTCAGAATGAAGTGAGCGTTCCTTCGTGTCTCTATATTGGTTATCAGGGAAGGAGCTGCTGCAAGCACGGGGGCTAAAGAACCCAGGTGATCAATGCCCAGCCTTTGTCCAGCGCTGTGCCTGTCCCTGGGAAGTTTCCTGTCATCAAGTCTAAGAGGAGGCAGTAAGTGTTAGAGAGTAACTTCATGTTGCAACTGTTTCCTTGATGAAAAAATGTGGCTGTGCAGTTACAGCAAGCACAAGTGATCTTGAAAACTGGCTTCTCTGGTTGGCGCTGCTGCAGGAAGGGTTAGACAGGGCCTCTCAGGAAGCACTGTGCTGCAGCAGTGCACCCAGGAAGAGGGAGTTCCAAAAAAGCCTGGGAGATGAAAGGACCCTGGGAACACAGGGGAGGTCAGTGTCTTCAGAGAGGGACAATTGTGCAGGGACTACTGGCCCATCCCAATATTCAAACCATCTTCTACAGAGAAACAAAAGCCACCAGGGAATTCAAGCAAGAAAAGTAAAATTAAACTTTATTTTTTTCTTAAAATATTTTATGTGTATAAGTGTTTTGTTTTCATGTATATGTACATGCATACATATATGTACCATGTGCATGTCTGGTTCTCCAGGAGGCTAAAAGGAAGCATCAGATCCTCTGAAAATGGAGTTAGAGATTGTGAGCTGCCATGTGGTTGCTGAAAAATGAACACTGGTCCTTTGCAAAAGCAGCAAGTGCGCTTAGCATCTCAAATACCTTTTTCTTCCTCAGCTCCTAGAACAGAGTCCGTAAAGCCACTAATACTGATAAAATAAGAAGTAAAGCAAAGTTAACATGGTCTCTATTTTTTTTTAAACTTGGTTTTTTGAGACAGGGTTTCTCTGCGTATCTCTGGCTGTCCTGGAGCTTGTTTTGTCGACCAGGTTGGCCTTGAACTCATAGAGATCTGCCTACCTCTGCCTCTTGAGTCCTGGGGCTAAAGGTGTCTGACTACTCCCTGACAGAAATTAGATCTGAACAGTAGACAATAAAGTAAGCTATACTGTCTCATTTTCATTAAAAAATTAATCTGTATACAGTCATAGAAAAAGTCAAGAGACCCAGTTACTCCAAAGCCTTGACATGATTATTTATGAGGTATTAGAATTTGGAGTGGTTTTAGTTCTTCTGCTTATTTCCTGTTCATATGATTTGAAGGATGTTAATACTTCCCTCAAAACAGGGCAACATTGTTATGAGGTGAGATTGGGGCCTAGACAAGGTATCTCTTAGACGCTGATTGACTGTGTGCCTATCAAAGTGGTAGACACTGTTCCTTCTGTGGTAAATGCATGCCATGAAGACTCAGTTCCCAGGCTTCCAGAATGCACCAACAGTCTTCTTGCTAGGGCCTCTGACCACCTTCCTAGTTCCAGCTAAGAATTGGCAGGTATCCAGCAGCAGCAGAAACCCCAAACAGACAATGGCTGGGCTGTAGGTCCTTAGCGACACTTTCAGAACCGCCACAGTGAAGATGGCCCCACCATCATGAGCATGACCAAGAGGGGTTACTGATCTCTTTTAGCACAGATGAACCCATGACCAGCAGCAACCCAGCTAGCAGTTCCAGCCAGCCCATAGCTGTTTGGTAGTTTATAGGATCTGGCTGGTAGCCAAACAACTTCAATGGAAACACCTCAGCAAACTGCTCAAACAAGGCTTTATCTGTTGTGAGATGGGGTCCCAAGGTCTGAAAGAGCTTGGCAGCCCAAGAGCTTGACAGCCTAGGTGAGCGACTCCAGAGCCGGAGACACAGCACAGTGCCATAGTTGTGCTGGACTCTTTTTCCTCCCTGTCCGGAAGACAACAGTCATCCTCTGCAATTTTATTTTTAAAGTGAAATTTGGTGGCAGAGTAAGAAAGGGATCCAAGGTGGGATAATTTGGAACCAGCTTGTTACTCTGACAACAAATGGCTGTGGATTTGATCTGCTTGAAGGTAGAGAAAAAGAGGCAAGTGAGATTTCTGAAAGCAGAGTCATTAAGATTTCGTGATGGACTGATGCCAGGCAGGAAGCAAGGCTGTAGTGGAGCCCATAGCCTGGCAAGAGCCCCTGGCTGTATGGTGATGCCATCCACCAAGACCAGGAGCCATGCCCGGAGGTGGGGGGTGGTAGTCAAGGGTTCTATCCTGGCCAGCCTTTGTTAGAGATGGCCATGAAAAAGTCAAAGCCACAATGAGAAGCTGAGCCACAAGTTGGGACTGCTAAAGGAACACTTTGTAAAAGGTGAATGAATGGCACTCACTCTCAAAAGAGGACCTGATCCAGAACAAGCACAAGTGTGTGTAAGAAAAACAGTACCCTGAAAATAGAGTGTTGGGTGAGTGTTTGGGTGTGGAGCAGGAGAAATGAAAGTATGGAGTTTATGGCTGAGAGTTAGTGTTGGCTACAGGAGGTGGAGTTCCAAGTGTTCTTATAAAATGCTATGTTTCTTTATCTGCAGGGACTCAAGCTACAATGGCAGCCCAGTACCATGGTGTCGGATCCACAACCAGAAAGTCAAGGACCAGCTGTGGTGAGAGGAGCTGGAGGGCTCAGCGGTGGGGAGCTTGGGGGTTGGGAGGTGTGGGTAGCTGAGCTGCAGGAGAAGTGGGAAGGCAGGCAGGGAGGGGTGCGGTACCTCCTGTCTTGACTGTTGTTTCTACTTGAGTAGGAGAAAATAATTTCTGGTTGCTATCATCATATTTTTCTTCATTTCTCTGCTCTCCCACCTCTCTTGACTCTCTTCGTGATCTCTTTGTAGGGCATGTCCATCAGGCCAAGCAGGAGAAACCAAGTGTCTTCTCACTGGTCCAGACCTTGGCCTAGCCCTCCCTTCCCTTCCTTTCCTTTCCCCTCCTTTGTTGTTTTGACTCAGGCTTCCACACTGTGGCCCAGGCCGGCTTGGAGCTTGTGATGGCCATCTTGCTTCTGCCTCCTCAGTGCTGGGTAACAGGTGTGAGTGAACCACCATGCCTGACTTCAGCACAGCCTCTTACTGCTTCCTTCCTACAATGTGAACATAGCAGAAAGGCTGCCAGTGGCCTCTTTGATTGCGGTTTCTCTGGTCATGTCTCTGTCCTTTCTTGTGGAGAGTTTTCTTGTCCCGCCAAGTGCTGCTGCCTCTTCCAGCCCCAAATGAACATACAAAGACATCTATTAATCATAAAACCATTGGCTGATGACTAGGGCTTTTTTTATTGGCTAGCTCTGTCTTCATTATTAAACCATTTCTATTAATTCAAGTATTTCCATGTGGTCTTATCTTACTGGAAAAAGGTCCGGACCTGTTATTCTTTTGGTGGCCTTCATGGCCACTCTGTGTGGCGGGGGTCACTCTGCCAACCTTTTCCAGAACTTCCCTCGTCTGAGTCCTACATGTCTTCCTGCTTCTTAGCCAGACAGTGTTTATTCATCAACCAATAACAGAAACATATATATAGAAAGACTTCCCCCATCAGAGGATTGGGAGAAAACATTGTGGAGGTAATTGATCCTTCATCTGGGTCTCTGCTCCCAGTGTCCTTGTTCTAATGAATCAGGGTGTCACTGAGCACTCCAATTCCTCTGCCCGCCATGTTGGTTGAGATTCTGCTGGTTTATCAAACTACCTTACATTGTAGTATCTTAAAACAGAACCCATTTCTTTGGCTCCAGATGCTGTTAGTCAGACATTCCTAGGGTCGGAATCATATCTGTTAAAGTTGGGTACTCACTCAGGAACCTATGACAAGCTAGTGGTTCCCTGTCAGAGACTTGATAGGCTCACAGATGTGTCACTCATGTACCTTGGCAAGCTGGTGGTTCCCCGTCAGGGTCTTAACAGACTGGCAGACTTTAGGGCTTCTTAAACTTTTTCCTCCACTGCTGCTTTTTTCTCAAGAAATGTTTATGTGACCCTCAGTACATAGGTATATAAAATAGGCTACAGGTCAAACATAAGAAATTTGAAATTAATTTTTGGTATATATACACATATAATCTACCCTTTCTTAAAGATTAAAACATATTTGCCCTTATGTTCATATTGTGAGGAACTTCAGTTAGATAGGATAAATACATTCTGGAGACCTGTTATATAACATAGTGAACATACATAATTCCATTATTTACAGTTGATAAAAAAAGTAGATTTTAAGTGTTTTCACCACAAAATATAGTTATATGAGCAATGGAAATGTTAAATATTGTTAGTATCTCTTTAAGACACTGCATTGTACACTATAACTATGTACAAATTGTGTTTAACAGCTAGCCCTTGACAACACTGAAGAAGCATATGATACGTTCAAAGAAAGAAAATAAGAAAATTAAAGTTAATGAATGCATTGTTGTTTTTCTTCAACTTAAAAAAAGCATAATTGCACACTAGTGAGGTGGATATGCTTTCTTTGGATACATAAGTCTTGACTGAATATTTGATACTGCAAGATAGAGCATCTGAAGCACTTTTCAGGGTTGACTGGTATTTTAATTTTACCATAATCAATTGTAAGAATGCATCCAGTAAGTGCATAATACAAAGCAGCAATAGTCTCAAATCTGAGTCAAGATATTTTGGGAAGTATTTATTGGTGTTGCATGATATGAGCAAGGCCAAGTATTGGTGTTGCATAGTATGAGCAAGGCAAAGTATTCACATTGTTTGGTCAGAACCAAGGTTGCTGGTTCATCATAAAACACAGGAAAGGCTGTCACAGACATTACAGATTCATTATACTTTTGATTTGAAATATTTTTTAGTCATTGTGCACTCAGAATCCTTTACTGTTGTTAACTTTTTCTCCTCCTCCTCATGTTCAGTTTTATGGCCCCACATGGGGTTATAAGCAGTGGTTTAAGAAGCTTTGGTGTAGTCAACTAGCTGTTGGGCAGGCCACGGTTGTGGGGATCTCACCCCAGGTGTCTTCGTATGGCAACTGCAGAGTAGCCAGAGGAGCAGGCAAGCCACAGAGCTTAAAGGCTCTTGGAAGACTTGCTTGCTAGTCCTCCAGAGCATGTCATAGTGTCCTCCAGATCCAGACCCACAGGCTACATTTTACTGGGAAGGTCTGAAGATCTGCTTCCTAAAGAGGAAGGGATTCAGGGACGCGATCACACGAATCCACACTGGCTGATTACGGAACAGGAGCTGAGCCCAGTGCCTTTCCCATTCTTCCTTCCTATGGCTAAGAAACCAAAGCCCACAAGAAGGAACCTTTCAAATGGGACACTCCACTGTACATCTGAGTAAATACTGATGGGAACGGCCCTCACGTCTTTTCTTAGATCATCTCAGACAGTGTTCTCAGTCACATCTTTTCTTTCATCCTGGGATTCTAGTTCCCAAGCATGGGGAACTACCTTAAAGCTTGGATGTCCCCCTACTTGGCCCTCAGTTGGAAGAAGAAAGAATCATTTTAAAATATAAATCAGAAAAAATATATCCTTCCCTGTAGATGTTCCAAACTCATACTTTGTGTTCTGCCCTGGATTCAATTAGTGGGGTAGCTGTTGGAAACAGCTCACAGTTCTCTTCTGAAACTCTTATTTCTTCCTCTGCGGGCTTGGAAGCCACAAAGGGTCAGAATGAGGAGCTCAAAAGAGTATTGAAAAGAGGCAGTGAAGAAAAGAGATCAGGGAGGTGCCTGTTGTACTTCCTTGATGTCAAGTCCTTCGAGATGGTCTTTTAGACCCAGAGGCTGATTGTAGATGCTGGGAGGGCAGAGGTGACAAGTGGAAAGCCCATAACCAGCAAGAGAGCAGGCACCGGATGGTGGGCTCTATGTACTTGCCTGTTGGGGGCTGAGTCTAACACTTGGTTTTGTTTCCCTGATGTCCTAGAGCTTGGAAACCAAGGCCAGGGGAGTTCCCAACTGAGAATTGTCTTACTGGGAAAAACTGGAGCAGGAAAGAGTGCCACAGGGAACAGCATCCTTGGAGAGAAAGTCTTTCAGTCTGGCATTTGTGCCAAATCTATTACCAAGGTCTGTGAGAAAAAGGTGAGCACCTGGGGTGGAAGAGAGATCGTTGTTGTGGACACGCCTGGTGTTTTTGACACTGAGGTATCAGATGTTGACACAAGAAAAGAGATCGCTCGCTGTGTTGCCCTGACCTCCCCAGGGCCTCATGCCCTGCTTCTGGTCGTCCCATTGGGGCGCTACAGTGTGGAAGATCATAAGGCTACACAGAAGATTCTGAGCATGTTTGGAAGGAAGGCTAGAAGATTCATGATTCTCTTGCTCACCAGGAAGGATGACTTGGAAGATGCTGATATCCATGAATACTTAGAGAATGCTCCAGGCATTCAAGAGCTGGTTGGTAAGTTTGAGAATCGCTACTGTTTGTTCAACAACAAAGCATTAGGAGCGGAACAGGAGGACCAAAGGACACAGCTGTTGGACTTGGTCCAGAGCACGGTGATGGAAAACGGTGGAAGATGCTTTTCCAACCAGATGTACAGAAGTGCTGAGGAAGAGATTCAGAAACAAACCCGGGAGAAGCAAGAACGTTACAGAGAGGAGTTGGAGAGAGAGAGAGCACGCATAAGAGAGGAGTATGAAGAGCAGATTAGAGACCTGAGAGACCAGCTGGAGAGGGAGAGGAGAAAGGCACAGATGGAGAGGGAATTCACCAGAACAGAGGCTTTGTATGCAGAGAGACAGCGAGACGCTAGGAGGGAAGTGGAGAGCCAAAACACGATCCTCGAACTAATCCTGAGAGTGTGGGAGGTTGCTCGCTTTATCATCAATCAGTTCATGCAAGACGACTAGACCTAGTCTGGAAGACTAGAGCGCGGCTCTGCTTTCTGCATCTTTTTCCTGACAACATTGCTCTACGGGACTTACTCCTTAATGTGCAAATGCTCTAGTTTCTGTCTCCCAGAACTAAAGAATGAAGTAAAGGTCACCTTTGGCAGTTGGTAGATGTTCAATTGATTTGTCAAAAACCTGACCGACCCTGCATATGTGGAACTCCAAAGAAGAATGTATTAAGGCTTGCCACTTTTGTGTTCTTCCTCAGAGAAGCCCCCAGGAGCCTCTAGAAGATGACTGTAAGATGTACCCACTTGTCCTCCTCTGGATTCTCGACAGGAATCTTCACCTGCAGCTTCTACACATTGCTGCACATTTTTTTGGACAACAGTCTTCTGTGTTTTATTAGGAAGTTCAATTCTTTGCATGAGGCCATCTTTGGACAGAAATAGATGGCTGTACAGTTCTCAATGAATGTTTGTTTGTTTAATTACATGTTCATGAATGGCCTCAAATTGTTCCCCGTCTGCCCTATGAAGCAAAGAAGATCTCATAAGCCAACTAATCCAGGATGAGCACAAATTAGCAGATTTAATAGACAGTACTATAGTGTTTGGCATGTTTAGGTGTACCTCTGGAAGCTCTCTGTCAAGCTTTTTACCAGTTTGATAAAGTCAGTTCTCTTCTTGAGAAATGATCTGACTGCTCCAAACCCACCCTGTCCCCCAATACATCCAGCTTGTACCGCTCCTGCCCCACCCAACTGATTTGCTTATTATTGTTATAATAAACTTTTCCATTGCCTCATACTTGTTCAGAATCAGAATCTGTTTTCTTGGAGGATGACACTGCTGTAATAGCACAGAGATGATTTTTTTTTTCGACACTGGGTTTCTCTGTGGCTTTGGAGGCTGTCCTGGAACTAGCTCTTGTAGACCAGGCTGGTCTCGAACTCACAGAGATCCACCTGGCTCTGCCTCCCGGGTGCTGGGATTAAAGACATGCACCACCACCGCCCGGCTGTGAATTTTGTTTTATTGGTAAAAGTTTAAGGTGTTTTTGAAACCAGACTTACTTTATCCCCATGGCACTTCCTTGTCTCCTGCTTTGTTTGCTTATGCATGTGGGTGCAAGTGCATATATGTGTATGTGTGTATGTGTACGTGTGTGTATGTATGCATGCACACATGTGTCTATGTGTTTGTGCAGGTGCTGTGCATATATGATCTCTGGTCTCATCCTCAGTGATGCCATTCACCTCCCTTGAGCTAGTGCTTCTCATTGGCCTGAAGACCACCAGTTAGGCTGGCCCACTGTCCCTGAGAATGCTGTTTCCTCTGCCTCCCCAGCCCTGAGAGTACAAGTACATGACGCCATGTGGAGCTTTTCACACAAGTTCTGGGAGTGAAACTCGGCTTCTCAAGCTGGCAAGACAAGCACTGTCCTGGCTGAGTTACTCCCCTAATTCCATCCTCTTCTTTTCTCTGAAATCTTTGAGCCACATTCTCAATTCTTCACGGGTCAAACACCACAACCCTTTTGTTATGGTAGAAATTGTGTATTAGGTTTCTGAGACCTGTGAGCTTTTCCTGGTCTGTAAGTTCCCTCTAAAGTAGAGGTAGCAAGAATTATTTCCTTATTCCTTTTTCCTCTGTCTCTTCAGAGTTATCCTCAACTATTGGTTCCTGGGAATCCCCAGTGGTTCCTCCCAGCATTTCCCCATGGTCACCTGTGACAGCTCACTTTGCTCTTTCATGTCTCGAAAATGGCTTCTGTAAGCTTCTTCCAGCAGCAGGTGACCATTACAGAAAGTCACTAGTCAAAATTCAGAGAACAACTCACTGTGGTATGCCCAGGCCTAATTGATACACTCACAACACAACTCCTGCATCCAAGGTTCAGGGTACATGGCGTAAGAGGGGTGGGAAGAGTGTGGAAGACCAGGCAGTTTGCTGTGATAACATAACCAAAAGCAACTTGGGGAGGAGAGGGTTTATTTCATATTAAAGCTTACAATCCATCATGACGGGAGGCCAGGACAGGAGCTCAGGGCTGGAAACTGGAGGCAGGAACTGAGGCAGAGGCCATGGAGGAGTGCTGCTTACTTTCTTGCTATCCATGGCTTGCTTAGCTTAACTTTTTAAATACACCCCAGGACCACTTATCCAAGGATGGATGTAGCAGGCTTTCTTTTGGGCCACCAACGAGCTCCCAAATCATGATGTGGAGACTTCTTAGTTAAAAATCTTCAGCTTTATTTTATGCTTGTCCCACTGGTTTTTATAACTTAATCTAACCTGTTTCTCTTCATCTACATTTTGTGTCTGGGATTTTTGCCTTTCTTTCATTCTATATGTCCTATTCTGTGTCTGTCTCTCTGGCCCCAGTCACACCCCTCTCTCTCTCCCTCGTTCCCTCCTCTCCTCTCTCAAGCCTAGATTCACCCTCCTATTTATTCTCTCTACCTGCTAGCCCCACCTATCCCTCACAACCTAGCTTCTTATTAGACCAATCAGGTGCCTTAGGCAGGCAGGGTAAGACAAATGCAACCCATCTTTACATAATTTTAAAAATGCAGCATAAATAAATGTAACACATTTTTAATTAAAACAATATTCCACACCATAAACATATGTAACACATCTTTACACAGTTAAAGTAATATTCCACAACAGACGGCACCTCCCACAGTTGGCTGAACCCTCCTTTATCAATCATTAATCAAGAATATGCCCCATAGACTGAGCTACAGGCCAGTCTGATGGAGAATTTTTTTCCAATGAGGTTCCCTCTTCTCAGATGACTCCAATTTGTGTCAAATTGACAAAAACCCTAACCAGCACACTCCCTAATTTATTTACCATGCCTGAGTGCATTGGTTAATATCACCATCATCATGAATGGTGACTATTAGTGGTGATGTAAGTCATATCTCCTTGCTTTGGGGGATGCCTCCAGAGCTCCCAAGTCACTAAGAGTCTGACTATAGTAATACAAACTAGTCTGATATTTACCCTATTAACATAGAACAGACCTTCAGTTTTAGAATGCTCATTTTCTTTTAACCAAAAGAGTGCAAAGATACCTAATTTGTCTCTACACATTTATTTTTTATTTTTCCATATATTGATTTTGCAAAATAATGTGTTTTCTCATGACAGTTTCATAGACAAATGCATGCCTTGATCGTATTGACACCCACACAGCATCTTCTCTTCTCTTTGCCCACCTTCTGCTCCCCTTCCTTTCCTCAAAGACACCTCTTTCTGTTCATTTCTCTTAAAACATTTTAGTTCCAATATATGAGAGAAAACTGCAACATTTGCTTTTCTAAGTCTGCTTTATTCCCCTTAATGTGATGACCGACAAATCCATCCATATTTCCGCAAGCAACACAATTTATGTCTTCTTTCATATAATTCAGTCAAGTCTGTTTCATTGCATATTGTGCTGGTTTGGATGAGACTGTCCCCATAGACTCGGGCATTAGAACACTTGGTTCCCAGTTGGTAGTGCTGTGTGGCGAGATTATGGGAGGTACACTCTTACTGGTGGAAGGACTTTGCTGGGGACAGGATTTGAGGGTTGTGGAACAATCTTTGTGTACACTGTGAAAATGTGTCTTTACCAAAGTGTCTTCTGATTGGTTTAATAAAGAGCTGAGTGGTCAGCTAGGCAGGAGAGGTTAGGTGGGACTTCTGGGAGAGAGAAAATAAGCAGAGATGAATCCAGGCATAGGAGAGATGCCAGAGGCCACGGAGAGGAAACGGGAGGTGCAAGGTGGAAGAGAGGTCAAAAGCCGCGAGGCAAAACTTAGATGAATATAAATGGGTTGATTTAAGTTATAAGAGCTAGTGGGACAAGCCTAAGCTATAGGCTGAGCTTTCATAATTAGTAATAAGTCTCTATGTTACTTTTTATGAGCTGGGAGCCCAAAGAAAAATCTGACTACATTTGAGAGTTCATAGCCTTACTCACCGTTCACTTTCTCTGCTTCATGCTTGTGGCTGAAGATTGATCTCCCTGCTTCCTGCTCTGCTCAGCGGCTGCCACACTCACTTCCCTCACCATTTTGGACATTTCATCTAGAACATAGTCTGAAATAAACTCTTTCTTCCACAAGTTGCTTTTGGCCATTTATTTTATTATAGCAACAAAGTAAACAATGTACTTATTTTCTTTAAATAAATACTCATTGTAGGGCCCACAAAAGGATTCCAGCAATGCCTCTGACCCCTGGGTGTGTGTCTGGGGTAGGCAGAACTCATCCAAACACCTTCTAGCCCCAGCCTGCCATAGGACTCCAGCAGCCTCTGCACTCACGGGGCAGCTGGGCTCTCTAATGATCTCTTTGTGATGAGGAATTGTGGCCCAGCCCAGCATCAAGGCCAGCTGAGCAGGACAAGGAACCCCACGTGCAGGCCTGGGGCTGTCCGCCAGGCTCCAAGGAGAAAACACAGGTACGCCCAGCACTTTGCAGCACGAGCCAGAGGGGCTCCTTAGAATGAGAAGAGATACAGTGTGGTGTGGGACATGGAGAAAGACACAGAATGGTTCATGTCTTGTGGACAGAGGCATGTCTAAAGAGGGGGAGAAGAAGGGAGTGGCTGACATGGTGGCTTGATTGCCACCCAGGGCCATGATGATGTCTGGGTCTGGGCAGCTGCTGGGACCCACATCTAGGTTTCTGGCTTGACACAGCGTGGTCTCTGTTGATGTCTCTGGCCCCTTATACTACCAGAAGCTGAGAGTGTACAGGGCTGTACGTGTTAACCCCAACAGTATCAGCTGCAACACTAAGGAGAAACGGTCCCACCACTCACTGGCCCAAGCACTCAGGAGAGAGGGTCCTACACCTCACCTGGGCAGCACAACAGAGCTGACCCTGTGCTCAGGGCCATGGCCCTGAGGGTGTGGGAATGGAAGAGCAGGTCACACTCCTCTGGTATCCCATGTGGTGAAACGGGTGAGGAAAAGTTCCCCTTCTCCCGTCACCCCTCACCATGTGGGTGGGGACC